CGAAGGAAGGCCGAAGGCTTCGAGGATTCAGAGGAGATGAGCCGAGATCGAGGACTAGAGGCCAAGGCGAATCTCTCCTTCGAATACTATAGAAGCTGAGGGCTAGTATTGAGAAGGGTGTCTGAGGGAGGATGAGATGCGAGTCCCTCAATAGTGAATCTGCAAGGGAGAAGGTGTTAGAGGCCTCGGGTGATAACCCGATGCGAGGACTCTGACGATCAAATTAGTATGTGCACAAGGTAAGCAATGAGCCTGGAGCCGAGATGTCCAAACAAAGTCTCAGATAGCGGTAAGTCCTTAGAGGAGAGAGCACTAGAGATCACAAAGGTTTCCCATCCCTTACCTTGTGGGGGGTGCCTTGTATTTATAGTTGGAGTTGCCAGGGGTAGTTGGGCTCGGATGGTCCAGATGCGAGCCATACGAGGGCTTGGCGAGATGTTCGGCCAGACCCATGCAGCGTCCTGCGACTGAGTTTACCCTAGCTTGCGTCAGGTAAACCTGAGCGTCCTCATGGTGAGCCTATGTTAGCGCCCTCTATTCGACACGCGTCAGCCCTATACAGGCCAGCCGAATGTGCCTATATCACATGTAAATTTATATAAATGTTGAAAGCCTAATGATTCATTCAAATTCCATGGGGGAATCTTCGTTCACCCCATCTCACAAATTTTTAATTCATAGTATGGTTAGGAACAATGACATTAGGGAAATTGGTGCCAATATAATGGGATAAGTGAGGTATTAGAAGTTTTAAATTGTTGTGAGCAAGGATTTAAATATTGACATGATACGCCTGGTACGGGGTGTATCATATTAGTATTGACCTTACCCGGCATGTGATATGCCACCACGATTGGAGGTGTTTCCTGTTAATCATGCGTATCAAGTTGATACAGGTGCATATTGGCATGTATCGATGTGTATCGGTCTAATACAATGCGATACAAACCGATACACTATGCCTTTTATCAAAAATTGACTTTGACACTGGAATGACTCAAACCTTAGTCCTCTCACACACCACATGCTTATATCAACTCTTATACCACTAGACCATCCTAATTCATGTGCTAATAATTGAAATAAAATGACTTTTATTAAATATTTCATCTACATACTACATGTAATCCAAATAAATAATACATATATATGATTAATAATTCCAACTAAAAATTAAAAAGAATAACATTCAAAATTAATATTTTATAAACTAATGGAATAAATAATCTATCAAATTCAAATTAAAATAAAAACATGGTTTTAATATCAAAAAATATATCCAAATAAAATATTAATATTAGAATAATTATTTTAGTACTTAAAAATAACATATATTATTTTAATTTGCCTTATATTAAATAACAACACATTAAATATTTACAAAATATTTGAGAATATAATATTAAATAGAATCGATCAACTCTACTAATCAACATTTATACCAAAAATGGTTTTTAATTAAAAAAAAAACTATAGAAACAAAAATATTAATAATGTAATAATTATATTAGCAATTAAAAATTTTCAATATATATTATAAATTTTAACAAATTTGATATATTTTAAATTGAAATTATATATTTTTATAAATTGTATGATATTTATGCATCCCAACATATTAATTGTAATATATTTTTTCATACATACCATTAAAATATACATTTTTTATGTATTTATACATTATTTGTGGCTATTTGATTTTGAATTTAGTGTTATTAATATATTTATGGAATTTGTATGTATTTCCCTAGCATATCCAAGTGTTTTCATATTTTTCATCTATATCCATGCATTTTTCAAAGTGTATCTGTATCCGTATCCGTATCCATATCCATATCCATGCTGTTTGACACAATACTCGATATTGATACTTTAATCCTTGGTTGTGAGTGTATAATGAAGTAAAAATTTGTGGGGTGGGTTTCAATGAGATTTCCCCAATTTCATAAGCCTCCCCGAGCACATGAAGAGAATTCATAGGACACAAAACCCACGACTTAAGACTACAATTTTTAACCCAATAAATTTATATTAGAATGCAATAGTCCCTCTTGATTTACCTTTATAGACAATGGAGTATTTATGATGACTATTAGTCTATCATTTAGGTTGTGTTTGGTTTGATCTAAAGAAACAAAAGGTCGAGGGAAAGTTCCAAAGGAAAATTCCTTGAGAACTTATGCAGCCTTAAGGGGGGAACTATCTAAAATGAAAATCTCTTAAAGTACCACTAAGTTTTAGGAAATTAACTTGCTCTAATCCTACTATTTAGAAATTGCCTTAAAGTAACCCCCAAGTTTTCTAACAATTGACTAAATCTTCCTTTATCATTAGTGTTCATTAGGCTCAGTTTGGAAAGAGTACAAATACAAATATGTACAGTGTAAATACATATAAAATAATACAAAATACAAGGTTTTCTACTCTACAAATTTGTATTTCTACTCCTTTCAAACTGAGTCTTAATGGAAAAATGGAAAAGACTACTTTACCCATCATTCTTCAAACTTTCAAAATGAAACATATCTACAACCTCTAGCGACCACAGTACTCATATCTGCAACCTCTCTACATTCATTAGAAGTTTAGAACATAGTAACAATTGAAGTGGGGAGAGATTCATTTGGTTGAATAAAAAAGGAAACCTGTGAAAAGGACAACTTGTAATGCTACTACACTTGTAGTACCCCCTTGGATGTGGGGATATCCTTCAATGGCTTTCGGTTCGTACTTCCTCCACGAAAAATCATCAGGAGGGATGTTGGTCATCTTCAAGCTTAAGATTAGCTATCAATAAGAATCTGTTTTTTGTTTGTTTTGCTTTACAGAAAACCTATCTTATGTGACAAGAAACTCCATAAAAAAAAGTGAAATCTTGATCCAACCAAAAGGTGCAATTTTTTGTATCCTTGAGATACAAACACGGATACCAAAAAAAAGAGAGAGAAATATGAACAAGGATCACGCGAAACTGTTAGAAAACCAAAGAAGTTTTTGGTTTGTTATACATACTGTTGAAGAACCAACTTCAAGCAGTTGTAGAAATTCATTCAACCGGTGGAATTTCATCATTGTCTTCCATGATAGAGTTGTCGGCTGGAAGAAAGTTTGAGGTTTAAACTTATACCATCTTTGATTATGAAAGTGTCCTCGAGAGGGAGATGCCATAGATAAGGTGAACTGATTGAGAGCTGTTTTGTTCTCTCAATCTACGGGTTAGAGAATGATGTGATTAAAATTTGGGCTTGTCAAATTAGAGGCATTGTTGATAATTTGGATTTATTGAGTTTTATTTTGAAATTTTGAAGAATAATGAAAAATAAAATTAACCATAAAGGGTAATATTGGGATTGAAAAAATTCTATGCAGTCATGTGGTGTCACATGTGAGAAGACTATGATAGAACACTAATGGATGCTAATGGCAGGGGAGGGTTTAGTTAATTGTCAAGAACTTGGGATACTTTAAGGAAAATACGAAACAGTAGGGGTAAAATAAATCAATTTCCTAAAATTTAGGGATAATTTAATACAAGAATGAACCTTACCTAATTTACATCAAAGATAATTTTGATGGACATAATAATAATCAACATACCTGTGATAATATGTCCAAAAATACACATTTCAAAAAACAAAATACCGATTTTGATTTTCACACAGTTTTTCTTTGGGATGTACGCAGTTTCTTTTAATCCCATGAAAGAGAAGAAAAGGTTAAAAAAAGGTAAATTGTTGAAAGCTCTCCTGAAGTTTTTGGATGTTGCTGAAACCTTCCCTGAAGTTTGGTAATTGCAATTACCTACCCTGAACTTTCTGACATAAATGCAAGTAGACCCACCCCTTTGGTAGAATTTTCTAAAAAAAGGCATTAAAATGTCTAAAATACCTATGCAATTGCTTTTAACAAAAATGTTTATTTTCCAAATTTTCTTTTCATATGAATCAATACCTCAAACCCTTTCAATCTCTTTTTTTAAATTGATTTATTTTTGAGTGATAAAATTACAACTTTAAATTCTCTTTGTTTTTATTGTTTATAAAGTTTGTACTATTTTTTTTTTATAGAAATCAGCTTTAAGAGTAACTGTATAGGTATTTTGGACATTTTCAAGCCCTTTTTTAAAAGATTCTACGAGAAAAAATCAAGAAAAATGATTGTAATTAATAAACTTTAAGAGAAGTTTCAGCAACGATATTCAACAATTTACCAAAAAAAAACGAAACAATTTCATTTCTAAAACTTGTATGCATCAGCTAATCCCCGTGATAGTGTCACATTCCAGTATGATAATTGAATTTGTAGGCCAATCTTGATGACTAGTGACAGCAACATCAATCCAATTAATAATGTTGTTTTGGTTGAAAAAAAAAATCAATCCTCTATTTAACTAATCAAGATTGTCTGTCTTAACTCTTAAGCGTTATTGGAATTAAAAATCAATCCTCCAATGAAATCTCACGATCGGGTAGACGGGTACTCCTTTTTTATGAACTTCCTATTGCTAATGCTATGTTCCTTGCCAGTATTATGTTTTATGTATAGTAGCAACTCAGCTAGACACAGTACTTTTTTAGCTATAGCCTAGACAGTTCCAGGGGTTCTATTCTTCCTGCCCACAAAAGAAAAAGAAAAAAAAAAAAAAAAAAGCAGGCTCTAATTCTCCACAGCTCACCATCTCTCTAATTTGCCCGGGTCTTTACATTCAGCAATTTTGGTCCTGTCTAGTGTCTACCTGGAAAACATGATCAAGACGCAACATCCAACCCAGACTATTCCTTCATTTCGTATAGGAAATTAGCAATTAGCAAGAATGAGAGAGAAGAGTTATTGAGTATGGATTGGGGAATGGGCGACCCTACAACGCCGTCACTCTCAACGCACAAATGACGCACATCATGCATGTGATGCCGTGGAATCAAAGTCTTGTGGTGGGCCCACGCACCAAAGAAGAGTTTCATTATTAAATCATCTTCTATTATTGTTCTCTGCTTCTATTATTCTCGGAATCACGTGTATTTTTTTCCAACTAATACTAATTAAAAAACCAGTTACCGGTGTATACAGACCATGATCACCCAAAAAGGTTTCTGCGATTATATGAAATTCATAATCAAACCTATTTGATTTAATTCTGACAAAAAAACGATTAAAAAAATATTTGAAGATCATATTCACACTATCACATAGAACCTTGGGAAGGTTTGGCGGTCAATTTACCTTCTTGACTCAACACCCCAGCAGCAGCGGCGGCGGCTGCTCGCCTGAGATCGACGCTCGTGGCCGTTATTGTCTGATATTGGGGCACTATACCTGGCTGCGCTGTTGTATAATAATACATTTGCCTCCCAGCTCCATCGTAGGCGATCTGCGTATAACCTGCATCCGCCATTGCTGCTGGCTTTATCACTCCAATCCCACCGTCTGCATACGCCCCTACTTTCGCTTGTGCCGCTACTGCCGGTGCTGCTGCCGTTGGTGCACCCACACCGTAGACGGGTGGTGGTGCTTCCCTGTAAACCTCTGGGACCACTCTTGGCATCGCGTAGTAATTCTGACCTATCTGACCTGTTATTGAGCGCCCCGTTGGTGCGTGATACACGCTACCCGGCGCCGGAATCAGATACACAGGTTGTTCCGTCCCCGGTACTGTCTCCGCAGCAGGCGAATAACCCCCAGTTGCCATGTGTCTATCTGGCCAATACGTTGCCGGAAGGGATACTGACACCGGAATGGGCGGTGGCGCCGCAGCCATCTTTTCGGGAATGTTTTGTACGTAGTATTCACCAGGGAAGACCTTAGCCAAGCTCTCTTCAGTTTTCCTCTGGTAGATTGTTTGCTCTTGCCCTGAAATCTGAAACTTCTGCAACTCCTCGATCTGTCTCTGGATCTCCGCTGGAGAAAGAGTTTCTATGTGCCGACCATCTTTGTTTGAATCCGATCCTAAAGCAATTTCAGATGGAGGCTTCTCCGGCGGGAGTGATTCTACGGTAGTCTCCTGCGATTTTGATGCAGTCGGAGGATCATATCCCTTATCAAAACCGAAGAGGAAATCGGGATTATTCTGCGTGGCGGCCGCTGGTGAGGAGGAGTCATCAGCCGGCTGGAAGGGGATATTATTCAGGGCGTCTAGGAACCATTGCTTATCAGGTTTCTCCTCATTAGAAGAAAACACAGTTGAGACAGAAGAATTCTGAGGAAAGAGGAAGAGACGGAGCCTAGCAGGTTTGGCAGAGGCACGGTACAGACGGTCGTATTCAAGCATCATATGCTCGAGATCTTCGTCATTGCTAACGGAGATGAGGGCATCAAGATCTTCTCCGGGTAGCTGATACTTGAAAAGGGAGACGTCAGCGTCACAGAGAGACGAGAGCTTAGAAATGATACCGGAGAAGCGAATGTTGCGATCAACTGTCAAGATCTTTGTATCACCACCGATGTAAGCCAGTTGGTTGTCGTGAGGACGAGGATGGATCTTCCCACCATAACTGCACATGAATTTCACCTTATAATTGGGAGGATCGTCCCAAGAAGGATTCTCGCAGTCGATCTCTCGTGATCGCGGCGAGGAGTTAACGGAATCCGGATAAGAGGAGAAGGAATAGTTATCCATGGAAGTCCAGATTTCAGAGCTGGGACCTGGAGAGTGAAACAATTCAGGTTTCAGAGCTCTGTCGTAACTCGTAAGCTTCTAGGGTTTTGAATGTCTCTGAAGCTCCTTATTTCTTAATTCTTATTACAGGTTGCGGAGACGATGGGCCCCGCCATTGATTGGGCTTGAGACCATCCAAGAAGAAAGAGAGAAAAAAAGAAGAAATTAAAAAAAGAAGGGATAACGAGTGAGCGTGGAAGCTACTCCTAGTCATTTGACTAGGATTGTCTACGAAGGGCTAGAGCTTGTGACTGAAAGGGGATCTGATTCGCTATCAGAGGGCTTTTCTGGTACAATAGCCTAGTATTGATCACTCTTCACTGGCGGTGTGAGATATGATGCCTTTGTTCATGATGGGCTATTGGGCTTTACATCGATCTGGATCTCATTTCTGTTGTGGGACCATTAGTGATCCAAAGTCCAAAACTACGGCCCACGGTATAACCTTCTGCATGCTTGGATTGCTAAAGTCTAAACCATCATTTCATTTCAAATTCAAACAATTGGATTGATAGTGAGAGTGGTTATTGGTTAGTTGAAGGTGAGGACCCGCACACAGATGACAGAACCTAGAAACTTGAAACTAGAAACTGTTGTTTCTAAGGAAATCGGGCCCACCACCAGCCCATGCAAATAGAATAAGCCCAATTAAAATGATCTTAATTCCTAATCAGTCAAATACTTGGATCCTTTTCATTTGTACTAATTCCAAAGTGAGGAGTGCAAATGAGTTGAATCCAAATTTTAGTTGAAATTTTCTCATTTGTAAATGAACTAAAATTTATAATTTTCTCATTTTCACTCCCTATATCGATATTAATTGCAAATGAAATTACAATTGTAGCAAATAAAGCGTAAGGACTAAGGAGAACTCTTTATAAGCTGATACTCATCATCAGATGGTTAAAATTATGCTAGAAAGTTGATGCTTTGCTCCACAGGCAGTGGTTTATGGGGATTCTAGTACTGATTCTAACATGCGCCGCATGTTTATGCAAATCAGTGGTCTATATTTTGAACCAACGCCGACTGGTTGAGTGGCAGACTGCTGAGACCTGAGAACTTGAGAAGGAACAAATTTGTCTGAGCTGTGTGTGTCTGTGTGGAGTAGTAGGTAATAACGAAGAAACACAGCATCAGAATATCAGATCGAATGACGCTAGCTGGACCCTAATATAGCAACTTATTGGGCCCTTAGTGGGCCCCCAGTTAAGAATGATGCATGAAACGAGCCATATATAAACCAAGACGGTGTTAATAACTTAACACCCAAAAAAAGGGGACCAAGACACTGTCCTCAGCTAAGGATCCCAACTGAACGAAATGCAGATGGAACAGAACCAGAATAACTGAGTACAGTACTCCATATTCCATAAGAGTGAATGAAGTACTGCTAGTGTTTGTGGGTCTGTGGGCTTTTCTAATACTCAATTGGCCCAATTGCTTAGTTTTCAGCCAAACTCATAATTATAATTTTAGGCAAAACCAGTGCTGCATCCATTGCATAGGCAGCAAAAGACCATTTTTTTTTTTTGTACTAAAAAGACCAAGTTATTTGAACGTAATGGTAAGTACACTTTATCACGTAAAAGCATATTATGTATGTTCTGTGAAATATGAATTAAAAAAATAAGCAAATTTTAATGTGATTGATTGAGATCTGGATTTAACCTGTAACTAATATTGATCAATGTATTGTTGAATTTAACCTGTAGTTAGGGGTGGATTCGAGCCAAGCCGAATAGTACAAGGCTCAAGCTCGGCTCTAGATTGTTCTACAAGGCACGAGCTCAAGCTCGGTTCAAGCCAGAACCTTGAGTTCAAGCTTGATTTTGAGAAAAAATATTTTATAAAAATAAAAAATTATATATAAAAATATTTATTATTTGATATTTAAAAAATTAAGAATTATAATAATTATTAATTATAATATTTTTATTATATATTATTTTCTATAATTATATATATATATATATATTCGAGCCGGCTTGCGAGCCTCACGAGCTGAGCTCTAGTAGGCTCGAGCTCGAGCTCAAGCTCGGTTGAAACCGAGCCGAGTCGAGCTTTTCATGAGCCAAGCTCAAGCAGCTCGTGAAAAGCTCGGCTCATTGCCACCCCCACCTATAGCTAATAAATTTATTGATGAATGCAATAAAACTTATTTAGTACTTAGAAGTCAAAAAAAAAAAAAAAACCTCTCCTTTCTCTCATTTGTAGACCCATCGGCATGACTTGTCAACAAATAGGTCCCATTTAAAGTTATATACTTTTACTAGTGGGGACCTGTGCAGTGCACGAGCTTTGTTAAAAGAAAGTTAAACAATAGAAATACATAGGAGTATATAATCGTTTTATATTTTAACCTTTTAATAACTAATCTAGTCAAACTTGACCCAAGTTGGTCGGCTTTATATATATAAAGTGGCAAAATTCACATATTTCTTAGTCTAAAATATTTTATATCATAAACTTATTTTTTAATAATACCACTATAATTTATTAAATTTAAATTTAATTTTTAAGTTTAAATATTTTGAAAAAAAATAAACCAAACCGAAAATAGATCCAAACCGATATAACCCGAGTTGGCAGGTTTTCACTAATGGTCAGTTCGGTTGCAAGTTGTTTCGCTAACCAAATCAACCTAGTCAGGTCAAGAGTTTGTCACCCGAAACTGACTAACCATTAGTGAAAACCTGCCAACTCGGGTTGTATCGATTTGGATCTATTTTTTGTTTGGCTTGTTTTTTCAAAATATTTAAACTTAAAAATTAAATTTAAATTTTATAAATTACAGTGGTATTATTAAAAAATAAATAATTAATTAAACTTATGATATAAAATATTTTAGACTAAGAAATATAGGAATTTTCTTACTTTCCGTATTAAAAATTATATTCAGGTTTGGTCTATTTACAAATGGCAAAACCTAGACCTAGCAATTGGGTTGGGTGGGTTGAGTTCGGGTTGGATCAAGATATTGTAGGTTGCTTTCAGGACGAGTCAGCAAGTGCTAGACCCTAACCCTAAATGTTCGGGTTAGGATTGACCCGCAGGTCAATTCGGGTCATCCCTAAAAATAACAGAAATTTTATAAAATAAAGAAAAAATACATGAAAAGTGTCAAAATTAAAAGAATTAGGCATAAAATTTCAAACATAAAATAAATATAAAAAAACTTGAACATTCAGCAATTCAAAGAGTGAACGATAAAGACTAAAGAGTAAAGAGTAAAGACGAAAGAGAGAAAGCTTATAAGAATACATGAATATTCCCAATTAAACCTAACAATCGGGTCAGCAGGTTGACCCATGACCCAACCCAACCCAGGTTTTTCTAGGTTAGGTCAGATCAGGTTCATGGGTTGAGTCAACATTTTGCCAGGTCTAGCCAAATTGAAACTAACCTAATTTGATCGGGTTGAAAAATTATTGAACCAAAGCAGATAAAAAATACAAAAAAAACTGACCAACTTAGGTCAAGTTAGATAGGAATGATTATTAAAAAGTTAAAATATAAAACAAATATATACTCTTATATTTTTCTATTATTTAGCTTTCGCTTAACAAAATCCATACATCGCAAGGATCCCCATTAATATATATTAGGGTTGTTCACGAGTCGGGTTGGGTCGGTTTACTGATGTTTTTCCAACCGACCCAACATAGTTGGGTTACCTGAAATTGAAACCGAAACCGACCTGATCGGTTTGGGTCGGTTTTGCTACTTAGTGGTGACTTAGTTGCTATTCAAGTGTTCATTTTTGGCTCTACATTCCCAAAGAAAACCAACATTTCCTTAATGTTTTGTGGCCCATCCATGGATCCAGTTGTGGAGGGAGCAGAGTTTGAGAGACAACTTAGTTAAGTAGGTTGTAATTAGGATAGAGACAACTTAGTTAAGTAGGTTGTAATTAGGATAGAGACAACTTAGTTAAGTAGGAACTAAGTAGATTGTAACTACTAAGTAGGAACTAACTACTAAATCGATTCGGTTTAGATCAGTTTTGATTTTCACACATGAAAACCGAAACCGAACCAAATCATCGATTTATGATTTTTTATAACCCGAAATCGACTGATGCTAAAGAAAACCCAACCAACTCAGATTGAATCGACCCAAGTTAATCGGTTTGATCGGATTGGGTCTTACTATGAACAACCCTAATATATATATATATATTACAAATCGCTGTCGATGGTGTTAGACAACTCGAGGAGTCAACTATATATAGATAAGCAAGAATCTAGCGTAGCTACTTTCTTTTTATTATATTGTGTGCCATAGAAGTAGCTGATGTAGGAGAATACATAAAGACAAATATGAATAGTAAACTGAAATAAATGTGTTTCATCTGTTTAATTCTCGAACGTATGGTTGAGTTTAGATCGTAATAATCATTTTTTCCCACTCACCTTCGTATTATCTTGCTGCACCGTACCACGAAAATAAACTCACACGGCTCAGAGCTCTGGAGCTCTGGAGCTCTGCTAGCTGCTTCGTCGTCACTCATTGCCTTAGACGGCCTTCGATAAATGAACTATCAACCTAATGTTACCACTTCCAACTACCACCACCACCACCACCCTCAATCAGCGAAAAGATAATCTCACTGTTCCGACTGGCCAACCCCATATCCACATTCAAAAGTGGAGGCTATTATTCTGATGATGAAGAAGACACCATTGTTGGAAAATTCAACACTCCAACAGTTATTTTAATAGTTTGGTGCTTGATAATATCGTTGAATTGTTTACATTGGTCCCACCTAATCTGGGGCATTGGATGGGGTAGAGTAGATAGAGACTTCAAATTTTGGCATTTTATATGCATTCTCATGCTTATCAGCACAAGTTTATCCTACCATTGAGCCAACCAAAAGCAATAGCCCTTCGAATACTTCCACTCGTGCACCAACTACAATAATTCTTAGTTACTATATATATTACAGACGTGGCAACATCAATTAATATTGATTAAAATAAAAATTATATTATATTTATTCCTTTTATTCGTTTTCTCTTACAAAGTACAATTAGCATAATAAGTCGTCTTAGGAATTTAACTTGTCAAATATTGCCAATAACTATTTTGCCAACTTTTAAGTCTGTATATTGATGTCTCTACTATCTTTTATTTTTTAACTTGC